TTTTTTTTTTTTTTTTTTTTTTTTTTTTTTTTTTTTTTTTTTTTTTTTTTTTAATCACGCGTCACGTTATACCTCGTGATCGGAAATAACGATGAAAATAATAATAATAATATAAAAATTGCGATGAACAATTATATAAGATGATTAATTATTAAAATAGGTAATTTCGTATGATCGATCATAGCGTGACCAAAGTTGACAAGAAAATCGATCACGGCTAATTATGGATAATTAACGAGAACATTTATCATCATTAACAGGAGGAGAATTATTTGATGAAATGAGTAATATAAATTTCTGTGCACGCGGGTATATCGTTTTGATGAAACTTAAAATAAAAAAATGAAAAAAAGAAAAAAAAAAAAAAAAAGAAAAATTATATATACGTCTTGACGATTGACTTTAAAAGATGAATTTAGAGAGAGACTTTTAAAATTTATTTTTATTCAGAAAAAAATAGGAAAGATTTTATTGTCATTTCTTTATTTCGAAACGTTTAACGAGATTAACCATTTATCGTGCTTCATTTTCTTTGATAATATTAAACGATTATGAAAATAATTTTCGACACGCTATAAATCGATCGATCCTCTAGCAACAATAACAACTACAACAACAAAAACAATTAATACTAATTAATTATCGTATTTCCTTTTTTCGTATCTACAAAACGATATTTCTTTGTTTTTTTTTCTTTGTCTTTTTTTTAATTAATTACGAAACACGAAAAAGTTATCATTTTTATTTTACATTAAAAAAAAATAAAATAATTCTTGTAACGCATTTTTAATAGGACTCGTAAGTAGCTTTATATACACGTTAAATAATAAAAATGAACTTCGTATCAAGAAGATTGAAATAAAACATTGAAAACTATAGATACGACCCCCCCACCTACTGTGCGCGCGTTTGTTAATTAAAATTTATTATGAATTAAAAAGTACTGCACTATTCTATCTCAATCTTAAAAAAAAAAAAAAAAAAGCTGCCAAAAATTTCATCGAGATAAGTTCGTGTAGAATAGTTTAACGCACGCGTGTAATTCGTAAATATAAATCTCTTTAAATGTATTACGGGGGTGAATCAAAAGTTAATGAATTTATTGTGTTACAAATTATATTATAAACTACATAATAGATTGTTTTTTTTTTTGTATTCAATATTCCTTTGGAAATATTAATTTAAAAACGCACAAAATTTTTAATCCTAATATTTAAGATATACAATACATACATACATATATATATATATATATATATATATATATAATATTTATTCTTGAAGTTTAAATGTATTGAGATAGAATATATAATAGTTGTTTGTTGAATTTTTGTAAAAAGGAAAATTGTATCGGAAGCCCTTCAAACCCGAAAGGAACGGAGTATAAATAAATAAAATAAATATTTATTTTATCAATTGTTGTTGTTGTTGTTGTTATTATTATTATTATTATTATTATTAAAGATTTTCAAAATCAGTATTTGAAATAAATGAATCGTGTATTAATATAATAAGATATATACGAATATTATCAAATAAATTAATATTATACATCGATTTTTGGATAGAACAAAGATTATTAATATTTCCACGAAAATAGTGTTGTTAATATAATTATTTGTATCAGTATTTAAAAAAAAATAAAAAAAGAAAATTCCTAATACAATAAATGTAACAACAAAAAATATCGATATTTAAACAAAACAATCTAAAACAATAAACGCATCGCAAATACGATTCCTATAATTAAATTAAACTACAAAATTTCATTATCCTCGTATAGAAACATCTTTAAAAATCATTTATTTCATTTATCTCGAAATACTTATACACCACGATTGATTGAATAAAATAAAAAATAAAATAAAATAAAATATATATATAATAAAAGTATTTCTTTTTTTTTCTTGTTGTAAGCGTAAATGTAAAAGATAAATGTATATTAATATACAATATAATAATACAATGTTTTTCACATCGATGAAAAATAAGAAGAAAAAAAATAAAAGAAAAAGAAAAAAAAAAAAAGGGATATATTATTTACGGTAGAGAAAAGCATTGTATAGGATGCTGCTAACGTTGTGTGTAGTCTTCCTCGAAGGCCAATATTCGCTCGATGAAATTCGATTATAGGAAGTATCGTCTACTACCACCCTCCACCAACCCTCCAACCCTTCCAACCTTCCAACCCCCCCCCCATCTACTACCACTCCCTTCAGCACTCTCTTAACAAGAACGATATATCGAGGTTAGTTCTACGTGTATCGTTCACAAAATGTTCCATCTCTGTCTATCTAATTGTAAATTACGAAGAGATACTATTCTCTCTCTCTCTCTCTCTCTCTCTCTCTCTCTTTCTCTCTCTCTCTAGCATCGATCATTTAATAGGTCCATAAAATTTACTACGAACACTCGCGTTACGTTTACATTTTTATTCGATTTCAATGTTACGATCGATCGTTTTCAATTAAATTGTTTATTATAAAAATATTTATGTATATATGGTGAACGATATTAAAAAAAAAAAAGAAAAAAANATATTTAAGATATACAATACATACATACATATATATATATATATATATATATATATATAACATACACATATACATATAAGAATAACATTTTTATAAGTAGAGATAAAAAATGTAAGTATACAAACCAAAACAAATGAAAAAAAAAAGAGTGAAACAGGTTAAGAAATGTAAACAAAGTAGAACGTATCCGATCGTAATGATTTTGCTTGGTAGGAATTCTATCTGAACGGTACTAATGAACTAAGTCCCGCCCCCCCCTCGCGGGTGTGTGTGTGTCAGTTACATAACACTTACCTTTCTCACTTTCACCAGCAGCAGCAACACCACCACCACCACCATCAGCACCATGCACGCACGCACAACAAACCCTCGGTTGGTCTTCGGCTTGCCCACGTGCCACCGACTCGTCGTCGTAGTTTCTCTCTCTCACTCTCTCATATTCTCTTTGTTCGTCTTTCTTTCTTTCTTTCTCTCTCTCACTCTCACTTCCCCACTTGAAACAGCTTCTTAGCAAAAGCCGAACCACCAGTACCACCACTAATACCACTACCACCACTAACAGAAGCAGAAGCAGCAACAGTAGCCTTGGCCTTTAGCGTTGTAACAAGGAAAATACAAGTTCCTCTTCGATTTCTTCCTCAGACTATCCTAGACAATAGGATGGCAAGCAACATCAACAAAAAAAAAAAATAAACGCAGAAAAACGTAATTCGACAAACACTGACCTTTACGAATTTCTATAATTTTAATTCCGTATATACGTGTAATAATACATTTCTCTCGAAATAATGTTATTATTTTTCTAAAGAGTTTTTTTGTTGTTTACGTGAACAACGCGATTGCTAATTTCACAGGTGCGCGCACACACACACACACACACACGTTTATAATGCAAATTTAATAAAATACACAAAGTCTAATAAATGTAATAAATTATAAATAATATATTGTTTATTCGATAAATGATTAATATGCCGTTAATGCGTGTGTGTATAATTACGTATTGTAGAGATAGAATTTTCTATTCTGTTTTGTATAATGTCGTGCAACACACTACTCTCTCGAGTCCTTTTAGAGATGATATATCGAAATTCCGATGAGTGCATAAGCAGCTCCGATATCGACCGCACAGAGTCTCGTCGTAGACTGGTGCACGGTAACCAGCCGGGAGTGGAGCCAACAGCGTTCGGTCATCTTCGTACGGACTCGGCTCCATTCGGATTAGATTTCGGCTCGGCTTCACTATTCCCCCACTCAATTCAACGGCGCGTATATAACCACCGCACCCGATTGGCCACAGCGCCGGCGCTGTCTTAACGACGATTGGTCCATCAAATTATTTCGGATTACTCGCGGGTAAACGTATCATGGATTGCGAATTATATATATATATATATATATATATATGTATATATATATTTTTGTTTATATTATTATATATATTATTATTTATATATATTATTATTATTATATATTATTTTTATATATTATTTATTGCGAATTATATATATATAATAATATATATGTCAATTATAGCAATATGATTCTTCTAATTGCGAGAAGAACGAGTTCGGTAACTTTGTATTATGCTTTCAAAATTTCACATTTTCTATTTCGATTATTAATATAATTATAAAAAATATATCTTTTTACAAATATATATTACTTTCTCGATTGATATTATAACATATCCATTAATTTACATTTTGATCTATTAATTTTCTTACCAAAAATTTCCTATCGCGAGATTAAAATGTTGTTATTAATAAATTGTCGATAATACATACGTTCATAAAAACGCGTAACTATATGTACAATAAACGTTAACATTTAATTCATGCAGGGGGCCACTTTTGATAATTCTTTATTTGTTTATCGATGTACTGCAACGTTTAAACGCATCGAAAAATCAGAATGAATTAGCATCGAAAAATCTGGACGTCACTTCTATTTACCGTTAATCGTGCGTGAGTTATTTCGAAGGGAAAAATATCTATTGAAAAACGTGAAAAGGTGAAAAATAGGAGAAAAAGTAAACAACAAAAATAAAATGAAAGAAAAATATAGGATATGCATTACATATACTAGTATAGTCCTGGCAATATTCCAGATGAGAGATACTTGTCCACATCCCTAGAGAGAAAACGAACGAGAAAAAGGGAGAGAAAGAGAGAGAGAGAGAGAGAGAGAGAGAGAGAGAGAGAGAGAGAGAAAGAAAGAACCAACTAGTAAAATCCTGTTTCATATCAGTCGTCCATTTTGCCCGACTACGATATTGCGCTAGAGTTACTTCTGAACATCTTTTACATTAGAGAAAACGTCTCTATGTTTCACTCGTTCTATAGTAAAAGCTATATATGATATATACAAGAAAGAAAAAACTAAACAAAAAGAAGAAGAAGAAGACGAAGAAGAAGAGGAAGAAAAGATGCTACGGTGGAAAAAAAAAAAAAAAAAAGAAAAAACGAAATATATAATCTAGGAAAAATAAAAAATATTTCTAAAGACCGAGAAAACGTGAGATAAAATTCAACAAAAATACGAGAAGAGTGAAACATTTTTGAAAAATATCCGCGCAATGAAATACCACCTTCGTACTTCGTCGCGTAAAAAAAAATAAAGATATTATAACGGTGATAACAATCTGACCCGAATATGTATAATATACAAAAAAAATATTAAAGTTATCTCATCGTAATACTCAAAAGTTGTTACATATTCTCGATTCGTATATATATCAACGGAGTAGTGGATTTGTTAAATATTTAAAAAGACAGAAATAAGAAAAAAAAAAAAAAAAGGAAAAAAGATTGACGCGTTATTCGAAGTTTTTGATCAACGCGGATGTAGGTACACTTAGTATCTTTAACGGTATAATTATACAAAGCGATGCACGTTTAAAAGCGGTAAAATTTGATATGTAACAGCTTGTATGCGCGTACACATATGCCTAGCCATAGAAGATTTGACGTTACCGCAAGTTTCCCCATCGTAATGAGATTCATTGAAATTTTGACGTAACATTTCCTTGTCACGACGAGGAACCAATAAACGCTCTTGATATTTCTCTGGCAGATGCTTCGCAACGTTTATCGTCTGTTGTACATCGTACGCGTAACAACAAAAGTAGTAACAAAAGTAACAGCAACAGCAACATGTTGATCATTTCTATCCAATCAACGTGGAGACAACTGATCTTATTATACGCGAAAAACGGTAATAATTACTTTACTATCTTTCTCATTATTTCTCATTCCAACCGGTAAACATCGTTAAATTGTCAAGTTGTTTGACAAAGAAATTCGTTAAAATAATTTATGATAAATCGTATTGTTCTAGAAAAAAAAAAAAAAAACCAAAAGATATCCTATTATTACGTCACGTTTGCGATTAACATTGAAAAATGAAAATTAATATACAATTATTATCCATCGTATATATTTACATGACAAAAGTTTATTAAAAGATCCTTGTATAGTTCATTTTGAATTTAGATACGTACGATATACATGTAAACCCTTTATTTACCATTCTCTTTCTCTCAATACACTCGCAAAAGTCTCGTGAGAACGTTCACGTGCGTTGGACGACTTTGTTTCCAGGATGAATACCTTTTAGTTTTGCTCGCGTAGGCGTACACGAGCATTACTGTTTCCTACGAAAGGAGAAAAATAATACCTGTGTATATATATATATATATATATATGTGTATGTGTATTAGTGTATAAGGGAAAGAGAGAGAGAAGTATATACCGAAGAACAACTTATTTCCTCGAGGTATACGGGATACATTAGAGTAGTTCGCGAGTGCATGTCGCATCACCCTTCTCTTTTACTTTCATCCCTTATCCTAGAAAACAATGAGATCCGACATCCGCCACTTTGAATCAAGCTGTTGAGACTAGTTACTTCCGGTGCCCTTTTCACCCTCTCTCATTCTCTCTCATTCTCTTGGCCACTCATCGTAAAACCAAAACTTTCCCGAAAAGTTTAGTAATAGCTGTTCATTGTGTTGGAATAACGTAATTAAAGTTCCGAAGAGAACTAGGAATCGATTAGGACGAAGGAAATGGGTTCAAGTTTAAAAAGAAATTCATGGGGGTTCATATTCTTCTTCGTTATCACCATAGTTTCGTTTAGTTACGCGAAATTTAACGTTACTATCGTACAACATTACCACCTATAGTTCCATGTTCTCTATTTTAATGTTTCGTTACGAATTCAAAGGATCTTTCTTCCTTCCTTTTTTTCTTTTTTTTTTTTTTAACTCGCAAGTAAAATTAGTTACGTTCTTTTCACATTAATTTTCGAAATTACACTGGAACTTTTAACTATACCATATATCTCTTTTTTTTTTTTTGTACGTGTTATTTCAAAGAACTTTAAGACTCCGAATGGGAAGTTAAAAATACGTTGGTTAAAAGAACGTGAATGGGAAGGAATATAGAAGAAACACGTTTGGTGACACGAGAGGAAGAAGAGGAAGAAAGAGGTGAAGTTGGAAGAATAAGAATTACTAGACGTACGGTGAGGCTCTATTGAATCTCGTAGAAAAATACAAAATATTAGAGAAGAAAAAGATAGAGTAAAGATGAGAGAAGATGAAGAAGAAGTTAAAGATGTAAACAAAAAATGGAAACTGAAAGAACAGGAACGAAGGAAGGCAAATATAAAAAAGAGAAAAGTGGCACGACACTTGGATAGAAGCCATGACAATTAGTGCTATATAATGTATGAACAAGTTAATGGTTTAAAATTACCGATAAACGACTGGGAATTGCAGTTATTCTCGGATAAAACATCATGTTAATTCGTAAACGTTAATACAAACATAACGAATCAATTTGTTCGAATTACGAATGTACTGTAAATCTATGAAAAAGAAAATGTTTTCATTAGCAACGAAAGATTAATAAATTCGATACAAACAAAAATATATAAACGTAAGTATAATAACGTAGATGTATACGTGTTTCCCCCTCTCGACTTATTTTTCTTTGGCCTTTAGCCACCCCTCCTATCCTCCTTCCCCCTCCCTCTCGCCCTACCCCAACCCACGTCTCTTTTTCTTTTTCTCGTTTCCCTGTTTAGGTGCTGACGAGGTGTCTTGGAATATTGCCAATTTACACTCACCTATTTCTTACGATAATCCCAAGAACTTCTAACTAAAATAATTTTACTATATTTTCAACACACACCCTTTGATCCTTACCTTTGCAATTGGCAAGTAATACGTAAGATTTCTTTTCAAAGGATTACAAATATATATATTATTGAAATTGGATTTACATTCGCGAAATTGAGCTTGTTATAAAGTATGCTTACTTATTTTTTTTTTGTAAAATATAATCAAGTAAAGTGTACAAATTGAATGTATTCGGTAAGAGCACTTATATATATATATATATCTATCTCTCTTTGATCTTTCAAAGAAAATGCACATTCTTTTTGTTTGACTTTATACGAATGAAGAGAAAAGAAACTAGAAAGAAACATGGCGGAATAAGCGAATAAAAAAAAAAAGTCTTTTGAATTATTCGAGAATGGCGTGCAAAAACTTGGCTCGTTTCGTCGACACTCACCCGGCCACCACCACCCCAAGCCCCAATCCCTCGTTGAAAAACCATTTACAATTAGGCTAAAGCTTTTCTACGATTCCCATTGCTACTGAACATTGGTTTGCGTGAAAACGTGACAGGAGTAAGAGAGAGTACCATTTTCACCGAGATCCATTTCCAGTTTCCCATGAGAAACGATTCGTGTCTGACGAAGGAAACGAGCGATTTGTTAATACCCTGATGAATGCCGCGAGTTAAACCATGAACGATAACAACCCCCCCCCACCCCTGTTAGTAGAAAAGTAACCAACGAGCGTACTAATCCATGAAAGATGCATCACCTTACGGATTTTAACGATAAATTTGGACAACAAAAATTCTTCGGATTTAATTCTAAATCGTAAAAAGTCTCGAGTATTGTATCTCTTGTTTTTTCTTTTGCAAATTTTATTCTAAGATAAAAGAAAAATTCTACGTAATCGTGATACATGTATCACAGAAATATATCATTTATTTTATCATCTGATTATATACGGAAAAAGTTCAAATTTTATTAACTTGATTAAGATTAAAGAAAATGTGTTTAGGTTATAAGTTAATTAATCAAATAAAAATATGACTTTTATCGTTTATTAATTAATTTTCTCGGATAAATATTTCATCGAGGAATATTCATTCAATCAACAAATCACATGGACGGTACTCTCATTTAATTAGTTAGAATATTTACGTTGAAATTGATAGTCGTAAACGCAAGAAATTGAACGTATGGTCGTCGTCCAGTTTTCATACCGAAAATCAACGATTATGGGGTGTAGTTTTGCAGAAGCAGCAGCTGCAAGAAGAGGATGAGGTGCCACCATTTCCAACAGAAGGTGTGTGCTGATGTGGTCTCCACCAGAAGTGGAGATAGAATATAAGAAGAAGTTGGTGGTAGTGCTATGGTGTTCTATGGTGCTATATGGCTAGAAGGAAACTCGATGTAAGCTCGGAATCAACGATCGTCTAACATTATAGTCACTACCACCATCTTAACCATGTTCATAATTTATATCAAAACGTAACTCGAGTTGTCGTAATAGCACCATTAAAGGTAGAACCAAGACCTTACATACTGCTTTCACACTTTATAAGAAGACGAACATCCTCGTAAATGTCCTTTCTCAAAACGTTCCGATAAATCCTTTTAAATAAATCGACTATTACATTTTTTTCGAAACTTTCTTCATCGTATATTATAATGATCAATCTTTTACATTTATCTGATTTATCTATTTCTTATTATCTGTTCTATGTGTGTATACGCACATATTTCATTTACTTTTAATTTTATTTAATCAATTAACCGTGAAAATGATTTCTTTAAAAGTTAAGTATATTAATTTGAAATTAAAAGGAAAATCCGAACATTTTCGTTAAGATACGTTAACTATAACTAAACTATTTTAATAAATATATTATATATATATATATATACACATACCACAAAAAAAGAAAAAAAAGAGAAAAAATAAAACCTCGGTAGTAAAGCTTTCGCTAATTTCTAAAGGTAAATCCCCCAAGAGAAAGAAAGAAAGAGAAAGAGAGAGAGAGAGAGAGAGAGAGTGGCTAGGGATTAACTTTTTTGCACGATGCGAAAATTTGTTTGGCGAAAAAGTGGTAGGAAAGAAATGAGAGAGAGAGAGTTGAGAATAATAAAGAAAACAAAAAGAAAGAATAAAAAAACTAAAAAATGAAGAAGAAAGGAAGGAAGAAAAGCGAAAAAACGGGATTTGAAATGGTAAGAACGGTTGGATGGTAGGAAATAAACGAGAAGGGGTGGTTGGGTTCGTGGAAAAGTAATGCATTTGACAAATTCAAATGACTCGACGGGATAAGGGGGTGTGCCCTCTCAAGTGGCAAATTAACTTGGAATCTTAGTACTATGAAGGCTCATCTCTAACTAAAACGACCTTCTAACTTGGACCAAGGCTATTTCTCTTTCTCTATCTCTCTCTCTCTCTATTTACTTTACATGAATTCGTATTTACGTATGCACGTAGGTAATTCAAAGAAGAAAATTCAAACTAGATTCTAGTCTAACGTAAGAAGATCGAGTTGTTCGACGTTCTCACGTCGACTAACATAAGTCCTTGTTTTCTTCTTTGTAAAGAAGAAACACGTTTCTTTTGTTACTTTGTTTCTTTGTCAGCTGATACAGTGTTTCTCAATCGTCAAAAAAAGTTTCATACAATTTTATATTTCAAATTGAATCAATAGTATAACGAATACTTTTAATATTATAAATTAGAAATTATTGACAAATTATTCACATATTCGAGATGTTTCTTTAATAATTAATTAATCAATATTTATATATGAATATATAAAATAATCAACATTCGTATAATTGAATAAAATATACGTGTATATTAGATATATAATCGTAAATTTGATTAAATATTGATACAAAATTTGTTAATAACCTTTTAACTAATCTTGATCTTATATTATATAAATACTGGAGAATGAAAATGATTATTTATAATAAACAAATTGTTCGATTTATATTGAACATTTATTTGTCTTGATTAATATTCGTGTGATTAAATGTGTTAGAAAATATTGAGAAATGTAAGATAAAACTGTTAAATAGGGAAGCAAAGAAGTGAAGAATAATTTCGTTATTTTCATAAAATACCAGAGGAAAATATATTCCATAATATGCAATAGTAGTAGTAGTAGTAATAGTAATAGTAGAAGAAAAATCGATTCGGAACCACGGATTTTCATCAGCTTACTTTTAGATGATAACTGTGCATTAACATCCATGCACTTTAAGCAGCCTGGATCAAAAAGTATTAACATTATTATTTACTTTTCAAATATTTTCCTATTTTACCATGGTTCTAAGTAACGAGTCTCTATAAGACTAATCGTTCACAAAGGATCAAATATAAAAAATACCAAAAAAAAAAAATAGAAATAGTTATTCGTAGTTGTATTCTTTAATATCTTTAATCGAAAATAATAATAAACGAACAAAAAAGAATTAAATATTTTTGTCGTTATAAAAGATATAAATCGAAGGAAAAAAATATCTCTTAACAAATTTCGATCTATCATTTAAATCACAACGATAAACTTAAAAAACAACCGTTCGAAATAAGAAAAAGAAATGTTAATCGCAAAACCAACTCACTTGCGTAATAAATAATTAACGTTAATGCAAGTGTCGCGTTTAGAAAATACAATTCATTGAATAAACAAGATACATGAGTAGGCATTTAATCATGCCACGAGAGAAATACCTTGGACTATTCTGGAATGTTTGAAATTTTTTTATTGAATTCCTTTTGAAATGCTACAAAAAGAAAAAAAAAAAAAGAAATGACAAAAAGAAAAAGGGAGAGAGAGAGAGAGAGAGAGAGAGATTGTGACATAACGCAGAACGATATGATAACGAGTTTAACTTTAAGATAACTTATTCAAAGCTACCTTCTTATAAACGAAGTTACGACGAGCAAGCAAGTTATTGGAATGAGAAATGGAAAGAATCTCGAGGTCAAGGATAAAATATCCATCCAACTCACCACCTTTCGTTTTTCTTCCATTTCAATACGCCAACTTGCTCTAGATGACGTGAAATGCTTTTATCAAAACAACGTTTAGTCACTCGGTTAGGTTACCACAATAAAGGTGTGAAATTTAGTGTTACGATAAGTATTACAAAGTATCTAATCGATAAAACGAATACAGGAGTAAACCGTTTAACATTAAATTATAATTTTTATCGTACAATAATCGATTGAGTATCATTTTTCTGCAAAAAGTTATTAATAGTCAACGATCTAAAATTGTATAAGTATAATTTACAATATTAACTATTATTTTGTCATATTAATAGTATTTTATTTTATTAGATGTTCGATTATATTCTTCTTCTTTTTTTCTATTCTTTTATTATTCCTTCTTGCTATTTTTCTCAAAATAAAAATAAATAATAATTATAAACTAGCTTTGTAATTGTAATAATTGTTTACTGCAATAGTCGTTTCATAGGTGAGTCATTTTTAAACGAACAAAGATCACTAAATTATAAGATCCTTACTGTATTCAATTAATTTCTTATCGTATCGGTTGCTGTTAATTGCTCGATTTCTGCGCAATTTATTAGCCTAATTAATATCAAGGATACCCCACGTTTCCTTATAAATCGAGTTAACACTGATAATGATTTCTCATTAGCTAATAAAAAAAAAACAAAAAAGAAGGAAGGTTTACGAAAGCATGACAAAACTTTCTTTTCTTTTCTTTTCTTTTTTTGTTTTAATTAAATTTCTTACCGGAAGGGGTAGTATTGTGGGATCTGGGATGTTATATTTTAAAAAAGAAATCAAAATTCCCACGTGTTGACGCGGTAATGATTATAAACGATTATTTATTAATTAATTACAACTACAGATTGAAATCTCACTTTTCTTATCTTCTCTTCTCTTCTCTTCTCTTCTCACAATCTCACACAATATTATATTACTCGATATTTATACTCTTTAAATATTCTCGCTAAATAATCGTTAATTTATCGCAGATTAGTCATTACTCTCTTAATCTTTCAAATTCGCACACATCCGGTGTGCAATTTCCTCAGTCTCTCTCTTTCTCTCTCTCTCTAGCACCTATAATATATATCAACTAGTTATTATTATTACTATTATAACATGCTTCAAACAAAATTATAATTTAATAGTTATAATAATTACATCTCACATATATAAATATTACATTATCGTTTAATAATTTAATATGCAAAGTAAAAAAAAATAACAAAATAATAGTATCCACACACACATATATATAAACGTTAAATCAATTATTGATCATTTTGAAAATTGTGTTAGATTACCTTATATATAATTTAAGCCAATTAAAAATACAAGGATAATTCGCGAAAGTTACTCATGAATCATGTGTTGCAGGTTATTTTTTTTTATTGTTTTTCCAATGATTAAAGAAAAGCAAGTATACACGAAGACACGAAATACACGGATTGTTATAAAATAAATTTTTGTACGAGCGAAGAGAAGGTGGGGGGAAAGAAGGGGAAGGGGTTATGATATCAACCAGACGTCAACACGTAACTACATAGATACTACTTCGTGGAAAATACACGTGAATATTAATCAAACGTGTTGTTAATTCATATATAATAGATTCGACTTTGCACGAACGATGAGGTATTTACACAATCTCGCGTTATAAAAGCCATTGGTGTAACAAGCTTTGCGTTTTCATGCATATATATATATA